GCACTACATATTTTTTTTCTCAATGTAGTACTTTTAGTCATTATCCATTAGTCATTATTCAAGTAAATGTTTGCCATTACTAGTCATTATAGACATTATAAAGTGATATTTAGGGAAAAAACCATCTAAATGCTATTTAGAAAAATGACTTAGATTTTAGTGCTATTTAGTGTAAATATTTAAACATTAATAAAAAATTAATAAATAAATATACAATGAACAATTGACAATGATGGTGTACAAATGACCCTAGCATTACTCTTTTCTTAATTCCCACTTTTTTCTACTTTTCAAACACAAGGAAAGAAAATTTTATTTTCGATTTCAATGCGCTATAAATCTTTTACATCTCTCAATCCAAACACTATCAGAACTCATTCTACTTCTCCTCTACTTCTATCCCTTTAGAAGTTTTTTTCTTTCACCGTTGACTTTGGGCATCAAGATATACTTTTTGCAGTCATAAAAAATCTTCTTGTTTTGATTTTTTCGAGTTAAATAGTGATGTTTTTGACCAAAAAATTTAAGAAAACTATATTGAATCATAATATAATTTCAGGGTAATTGGATTCATCATAGTATATATATAATTTTGATGTATCAAATATTTATAATATTTATTTATTTAAATTATGTTTGATTTATGATAAAAAAATATATCAGTTTGACCTAAAAAAATCAAATCAAAAAGAGCGTTTGGAATCGAAGGGAGTGAATGATAATAATAATAATATCACGATATATGCGACCTTATTAAATTATCACCACAAATTAAAACTAGACGAACAGATGGCGAAAAATTGAATGATTAATATTAATTGGTGTTAACAAGGAGAATATAATGGACATCAAATTAACAAAAATGGTAACTGAAATTAAAGATTTATGTGAATTTGAGGGCACGGTTGTTTGGTAGTAAGCTAGGAATTGAATGAGGTCAAGATTTTGAGGTTTGTAATTCATTCGGACTACAGATATGGATTAGGGCAATGCTACGCTCACAAACAGAATGATCACAAACTTCACAAACTTACTATTTATGGTTTAAATTCTCATTTTAAAATTATTTTAAGCTTTGTTTGGGGACAGCGTTTTCGATTAGCCTTAGCGTTTTGGATAAAATTTTAATGGTGTAGATTAATTTCGAAAACGCTAACTCTAAAGGCTACCGTCGGATAGCCTTTTCAAAACGCTAACGTTAATAGCTAACGCTGATGCTAAACGGGGCCTTAGACTATTTAATTTTCTTTATTAAAGTTCACAAAGGGTAAGTTTGTGAAGTTTGAGTTTATGAACCAAGCATTTCCCTATGAATTAATTAGTCATTTCGATCATCCAATTTTGATTTTTTTTAAAACCTGTTTATATTCTTTAATCGTTTAAATTTAGCAATCGTGAATATATCTTTGGGTTTCTTCTTCAATTATCTCACTTTTTATTTTACCTATCTTGTTGCGAAATGGAAACGTAAACGATATTTTTATACTCTATATTTACCTAATAAAATTGCCGAGCGCCATGACTATGTCTTACCCATATACGAGATCAGAAGTTCGAAATATTAAGAGGCTGTTTGACAACTTCTGAATAGGTAAGTGCTGAACCAGTAAAAAGTCTGAACCATTAAGTGTTGAACCAGTAAGAGGTTTGAACCATTAAGAGCTAGTATATTGCTTAACTATTCAGAGGCAAATGTCTGATCAATTCAGATAAGAGGTCTTAATCATTCAGACTCTGTATAATACTTAACCATTCAGAGGCAAATGTCTGAACCATTAAGAGGCTGAAACAAACAGTCTGAATCATTAAGTGCTGAATCATTCAGACATCTGAACTATTAAGAGGCTGAAACACACAGCCCCTAAGTGTTTATGTTTTATTAAATTGTGAAAATATATACATAAACAGGTATTATAATATAATTATATAGTACTCCATAACTTAGTTGTTTAAAACATATGGTCCTATATTGAGAAAATCATTATGTTTTAGTTTTATTTAGGTAAATTAGTCAATAATTAATCGTATTATTTGCTTAATTAATCTATTTATGGATAAGAATGAGGAGTTGGGTTCCATTAAGTTTGATGACTAAGCAATTAGTAGCACATTTATACATCTGTGTTCTGTCTTGCGCCTATGATATATTGTTATATATATATGCCCACAAAAAGTCATGGAATTCCTAACAAAAACAAATGCATGAAGAATTTTTTTTTTGACAGATTTTTTTTTGAAGAAATTTTAATTAAAATAGAATAAAGAATTATGATAACAATAGAGTAAAGAAATTAAAGTAAATAATAATAATAATAATAATAATAATAATCTATCTCTTATTATGGCTTTTGTTCTTAATAGCTAGATAAGAACATTTACTAAAAAAAGCAATCTCACTGTCCAAGGTTGGCCTGGGAAAAACTAAACTCATATTGTGTTAGAGTATGTTATATGAGGCCGGTTCTAGAGCCACTGGAATCTAGTCGCTACGGAAGCCACTGTCCCCCTACGGAGCTCCGTTCATAAAATTGATGATTCCTACCCCCGGTAAACCCCCCTACCAAGTCTCGACCCAAACTACTCCCCCCACCTAGGTCAATTGCACCTCGCAAGTATAATTGACTTTAAAGTCAAAATTTTTGACTTTATACTTGCGAAGTGCAATTGACGTAGGTGGGGGGAGTAGTTTGGGTCGAGACTTGGCGGGGGGTTTACCGGGGGGTTAGGGGTGTAGGAATCATCAATTTTATCAACGGAGCTCCGTAGGGAAGCAGTGGCTTTCGTAGCCACTGAATTCCATTGGCTCTAGAACCGGCCTCATGTTATATAGAAACTTAGAAAAATAAAAAGCTGAACTAACTAATTAAATTCTGCTTGTATCATATCCAAGGGAATGATGCAAGTTTAGATTCTACTCCCTATATCTCAAATTAAATTACATGTTTATTATTCACAGGATCAATTCTATTCATTTTTCTTCTCAATTTTTGGTAGTCATTTGATAAAATAAAATAGTCATGTCACTGTTAGTTCTGTAGTTCTCTTGATGTAGTATTTTAATACTCCGTATATAATTTTATTTTTTTAATTCTACACTATTTTTCACACAAAATGATTTTAAATTATTTCAGTCAAACATCGTGAAGCGAAACATGTAATATAAAATAAGATGGAAAGTTTAAATTTTGTTTCTGTCTATCTAAAGAAGAATCTATTATCTCTTTCTGAAAATAATTTTGTAACTCTTTTAATTTTTTTCCGAGCTGAATCACTTTGAAGTATATACTTACGCCATTGGATGTGCCTAGGTTTTTAACTTTTTACCCATTTTCCCTCCTTCCAACTCAGTATCACGCCAGTTTTTATTTTTCCTTCCTTTTTCTTTTTCCTTCCATGAAAATGCTTTTCCTTTTCCACTTCAATTTTAATATTATTTTTTAATGCACTTATTTTAATTCAAATAAGTAAACTAAAAACATTAAAATTATAAAATAATTGAACATTTTAAGAAATATAAATTGAATATTTCATGAAAATATAAAATTTAAATAAGAATTATAATAATCGTACTACTAAGAAATATAATAATAGTGCATAAAACAATACATTTTTTAAGAAAAATACGAATATATATTAAAATTAAACATAATTAAAAAACTAAACGTCCCCGTTGAGTGTTGTGTTTAAATAGTAAAAATTTTGAAATTTTTAAGAACCTACCGGCGAAGTTTCAAAAAAAACCTTTGGTCCGTTGCCAACGGGAAAAACCAGGATGAGCACCATGCATTTCCCCTTCCCACTGGAGAGGGGGTGGGGAGTGAGGGGTGTTCCCGCCCCTTCTTGTGGCACACCCCATGACCTTACAATTTTAGATAAGCTTAATCCCTGAGGACTTCTTCAAATCTGACCGGACGGTCACTAAGATAAGGTAATTAAAATGAATTTAATCACAGGTTGGTGGCAAAGAGTGGAGCCTACACCTGGTACTTTCAGAAGCCCTATGCTTGGCATAGATGCCTCTCAGTGCAATTATCAAGAATCAAATTTGGATTTTACACCCTTAGCACTCCTTGAATTGGTGAACCTTTTTTCTGCTGTTGTGAGAGACGTCCATCCTAGTTTTTGTTTGCGTCAAATCTCAAAATGGAATATGTTGTTTGACACACATATCTCACCTCAATATTCTCTAACTAAACAAATCTCAAACCAATGCATGCAAAAGATTACCTCATAATCCCCCCATCCATAAAAATTACCCGTCACAAACAGGGGAGGAATGTTTCCCCGAAAAAATTGTACTCCCTCCGTCCCAAAAAAGTTTGTTACGTTTAGAAAAAACTGCGTCCCGTAAAATCCGTTACATTTCTATTTAAAATCTCCTTTTACCCTTTACTTTTTCATACTCTACCTATCACATCATACTTTTTTTCTAATAATCTACCCATCACATCCTACTTTTACCCATCACATCAAAGGTATTTTTGGAAAGTCAATACCAAAATATCCATCCCTTAATTTTCCAAAAAGTCAAACTGTCCCATCTTTTTGGGACGGAGGGAGTACTAAATAAGAGTAAAACATGATAATGTAGGACATAAACTTTTTTATTCCTTAATAATGCTTAATAATATCTAGTGGGAGGAATAATGCCTAATGATGGTAGACATTTATTTGAATAATGACTAATGGATAATGGGATCCCACATTGAGAAATAAAAATATATAGTCCTATATTGAGAAAGTCATTATGTTTTAGTTCTATTTATATAAATTTCTCATGTCACAATTACTATTTTGATTTCTTCGATAATTTCATGTTTGTTTAAGTGTATTGATTGACCATTTAATAAAATAAAATATTATTATCGCATTTTATTTTGTTAAACTTTTAATTTTACATTTTAACTATGCAATTTATATTTTTATTTTGATATCATAAATAAAATGATTTACTACAAAAAAACAATCACGTTTACGTCATTCAATTTCATAGTGCTTTAACTGTCATATTCTCCCTTTCCGCCAAGCTTGGACTGGACGGACCCTCCTCCTCTTTCTCTCTCTGTATGTATCTATATGTGTATATATATATACACACACACAGAGACAGACACATAATCCCATTACTTCAAAACTACTCGTATTTCCTTCATAGTGAATGGCTTTTCGTACATCCATAGCCAAGCGCATATTCAACTTCAAACAAGCAGAGTCACCTGCGCCGATCAAACGTGCTCCGTTATCCGGCGAGAACGATCTACCATCCAGATTGAGCTTCCACAGGCAGCTAATCACGCCGCCGCGAGGCACAATCGGTGCAATTTTCCAGCGGTTCTTCCACCGGAGAGCGATCAACGCCGCCACGTGGCTGCCGAAGTTCGTGACGGCTCCGGCGGGAGACGAATCCAGGAAGAATATGCGGCCTCTCAACATTCCCGGCGGCCGGATCGGGCTCGCTCCGCCTCCGCGGATGCGAGATCCGGAGGAGGCGGCGGTGCACCAGATTTCGGTGAACGATATGCGGAAGATTCTGCGATCTGCTCAGCTGGAGAAGGTGAGGTCGAGGATCAGAGGAGTCGCCGTGAATTGCGTGCCGTACGCGGAGTTTGTTACGATTTGTGGATGCGGTTGTAATAACAGAGAGCAAGCTCTGGAATTTGCGAAGATGATGGACGAGTCCGGCACTGTCATCGTTCTTGGCGACGTCGTTTTGCTCCGCCCCGATTTGGTAAGCTCTCGTGCAACGTACCAGTCTGAGTTTTGAATTTTTCTATCTCTATTTTAATGGCAAAATAGAAATTACGAGGTAAATTATCGTAATTTTTAAAATTATTTTATTTATAAATAGATGCATCAATAAAGAATAAAAATTATATGTTAAAAAATTACATAAAAAATTCTACTAAATAAAACATGACAAGAATATTGTATTTTATCAAATAATCAATGAAAGCGCACAAAGCAACAAAAGTTATCGAGAAAATGAAAGAAAATAAAATTGAAATCAAAATGTGAATGAAATAAGGATTATTGATAAATTTGATAATTCATTTCATAAAATTTAGATTATGTATTGATACAAAAATAATTCTATTAGATTTATCATTTAAAATATTTTGAAGGCATTGTTCCATTTAATTATAGACTAAAAGTCAATTCTGATTAATTTAAAACTTCAAAAATTAGATAAATACTTTGAGAGAAATAAAATATTTGTTTCTAAAAATTTTTTAATTCTAGATGACACTTTTTATAAAGTATAAATATGGGGAAGCTCAATTAAAATTAAACTCCAATGTCATACTCCCTCCGTCCCCCATAAATCTTCTCAATAGCCCTTTTTCTTTGTCCACAATAGATCTTCTCATTTCATTTTTTAACAATTAAAATACCATAACTACCCCCACTTACTTTATTTATTACACCCCACCCACCTCATTTAATACACTCCACCCATATTTCATTAAAGGTATTATGGTAAACTTTCACTTTTTTTCAACTCTCCTTAAAAACCACCAAAAGTCAAAATGAGAACATCTTAGGGGGACGGGGAGAATATTATAATTCGGGCTCTATTTAGGGTCTATATGAGGCTCTCTTCCAAAAACATTACGATTCATGTTCCTCCTAACCTACCTGGTAAACCCCCACTTTGATCTATTCAAACCTGTCCCCCCCCAATTCCTTTAATCGAATCCTTTTAATTTTGGTTAATTTTAGATTCAAATTTTGATTTCAAAGTCAACTAAATCATTATCAAAAAATTTCAAAAACATAGTCATCATGTGGTGGTATTATCCATCAAAATCATCATCACCATCAGAGTCGCCGTTGTCCTTGTCATCGTCCTTATGATTATCATAATTATTATTATTATTGTCATTATCGTCATAGTCATTGTATTAATGTCAATAGTTTGTACTTTTATTATTAAATTACTCCATATGGAAGTTCATAAAAATGTTTATGTTAAGAAGTTAAAAGTAAAAAAATTCATGTAAAATTCAAAAAAATAATAATAAATAAAATCAAATAAAAATGAATGGTAAAGAATTATTTGGGCACATTTTTAGTGTACTCCTAGCATCTCCCCATAATAAAATTATATATTGAAACAAATTGTTAAAGAAAAAGAGGAAACTATATCACAAAAGAATTAATCACTCAATTTTTCTATTGTACAGAGTAACTAGTGTCAACCCCGTGCTTCGCACGGGCTCGTATATATTCTAAATTTTTTAGATTCTATAAATATAATTTTAGTTGTTTTAGTTTTCTAATACTGACAAAATATATTTTAAACTGGTGGAATATATATAGGTATGTTAATTTAAAAATCTACGAAATTAATGGTCATTGAATTAAGTACTAATAAAAATTGTTTAAATTAATAAAATATTTTAATAAAAAGTGGATTAATAACATAATGATACATCATTAGAGAATGTATATGTGTTATAAAGTAATTTGTCAGTTGTCACCCTTCAACTAAACCAATTTTATTCTATTTACTTTGTTAAAAAATATATGTAGCAATAAAATAGATAAAGTAATAAGATAAAATTTTTGAAACAAAGTATTTAACTAATAAATATGCATATGTGATTAAATATATATACTTTTTTTTGAAAAGTAATAAACTAAAATAAGTTGTGGATATATATATATATATATATATATATATATATATATAATATGGAGTATATTTTACAATGGTGAAATATATATTTATAGAATTATTAAAAAATGAAAAAGTTTTATACAAATGTATTCAAAGATCTTTTTAAAAAAATCTAAATGGATCTCATTAGTGGGTGCATATGTGGATACACATGTGGCATGCCACATGTCAACACTACAACAAATGAACTCTACTTTACATATATATATACGATTGGAATGCATGTGTCGTTGATAAAATATTTAGGCCCACAAGGGTAATTCAGAATTTGAAAGATTAAATTGTTATGGAAGGAATTTTTTTTGTGGTTCTTGAGTACATATTTATTTTATGAACTTTAATATATAAACTAGTGTTTACCCAGTGCTTCGCACGGACTCGTATATATTCTAAACTTTTGAGATTCTATAAATATAATTTTAGTTTTTTTAGTTTTTTAATAATGACAAAATATGTTTTAGATTGATAGAATATATATTGATATGTTAATTTTAAAACAAAAAATTATACAAAATTAATGGTCATTGAATTAAGTACTACTCCGTGATAGAAATGGTTTGAATTAATAAAATATTATAATAAAAATTGGATTTGTTACATGCATAAAGATAAATCATTAGAGATTGTATATGTGTCATAATGTCACTTGTCAATTGTCACCCTTTAATCAAACCATCTTTATTCTATTCACTTTGTTGAAAAATATACATGTAGCAATAAAATAAATAATGTAGTAAGATAAATTTTTTAAAACAAAGTATTTGATTAATAAATATGCACATGTGATTAAATTTATATAATATTTTTTGAGAAGTAATAAACTAAAATAAGTTGTGGATAGTAGAAAAATAATTTTATGTGTGTGTGTGAGTTTATATATATATATATATATATATATATATAAAATGAATTTAACTATTTTGAGAGTGATTTAGTCTCTGCCTATATATTAACAATGCACATATCTGGTTTCTAATACTTTAGAGTTTAGACCATTCATAATTTTATTATTGAATATGAGAAAGTGAACAACAAAATTAGTGCAATAATAGGTGGCGAAATCTATGGAGAAAATGATTTACGAGAGAATTGTGTTGCCAAACGATCCGAGAAGGAAAGAGCTAGAAACAATGGAGAAGCAAAAGGGCTTTATCGACCAAAAGGCCCAATCACTAGTCAAAAGAGAACTATACTGCGGGCTGGGCTTTCTAGCCCTGCAAACGTTGGGCTTCATGAGGCTAACATTTTGGGAGCTGAGTTGGGATGTTATGGAGCCCATTTGCTTCTTCGTCACGTCATTTCACTTCGGGCTGGCCTACACTTTCTTCCTCCGGACTTCCAAAGAGCCCAGTTTTGAAGGGTATTTCCGACGTCGTTTGAAAACAAAGCAAGAAAAACTCATGAAACTATACAATTTCGATGTCGAAAAATACAATAAGCTCAGGGAAGCCTTTTTCCACGTGGATTATGATTTATGACCCCATGTACAAAATATAAATTTGTTTATAGATCCTAGAAAAGACCATTAAGGTAATGAAAATTATATGTACCAAATGGATGGGAAAAATGTCTTTATACCATTAAAATTTTGTTCATTTGGGTCTTATACCATGAGATGTGCTTTAATAACATAGGGGTATCTTTCAAAAAACTATAAACACAATTAATTTGTAGCAGGGGTAAAATCGTCAAAGGTTGAAGTCCAAATAAGTGAGAGAAGCTTGATATAGACATGACAATAGGGCATAACCTTTGAACCAAATGGATGAACAAAATGTAAGGTATATGAGAAGGGCAGTTAGGGCAATGACAAATGCAAAGTTAGCCAAGCATCTTGGGGAAGAGATTTCTTCTTCTGTGACTGGGTCAGGGAAGCAGCCATTGTCAATGAAATCTGAGAGCAACTGGTCTTTGGACCGGAAAGTTTCCATCAGCCAAGCCGTGACGTCCTCCTCGTCGCCGGATTCCGGCATCTTCTCCGCCGGGATGCGCCGGAGGTGCATGTGAACCTCAGATGGGTCTACTCCAAAGATGTTGTCCATCAGAGATGGACACTGGTTCTTGTATGCTATTGTTATGTCATAAACTGCCCAAAACCATTTTTCCAAAAAAACACACATTTTAAAATGATGACTTAATTAGTTGAAAAGTAATTTATAGAGATAAAAAAAACAAATGATGTGAGAGAAAACATACCTGCATCCAAAGAATGTCTAAGTACATCCAAACAAGCAAAGAAACCCTTTGACTTTGGGAGCAACACATTCTTCATCACTGGATATCCATTATCTACAGCAAACTTCTGGCTTCTAATGCACTTCTGCTCACTGTAACAAATAAGAAACCACAAAAACACTCCAATTCTCAATACCACTCACTCATGTAACAAAAATACTGAATCCGGCAGAATCCCACAAAAGTAGAGTCTGAAAATGATGTGTATACGCAAACTTTATAGATCCCTTCACCCGGCGTAAAAACCACACCACACATAGAGTGTAAAGTAACATGTAACAAACATAACAAATAAAAAAAATTCTTACGTGAAATCGGTTCCTTCTGGGAAAATGACGAGCCACAAGGGATCGTTAGGATCGGCGAAGCTCGAAAGCATGGACCGCAAAACGGGTCCGTCCACTTCCCATTTCCTCTCCAAGGGGATGAACTCGAGGATGCGAAACCCCCAGCCTAAAACCGGCATTCTCATCAAACTCTTCTTCAACACGTACTTCACACGGCCCAAACACCCCTTCCGCGACGCGAGGTCCCACAGGTACATCCAGTCCACCTCCGTCCTGTGGTTCGAGACCAACAACGCGCGCTCCCCCTTGGGCACAACGTCCCCGTAGAACGCAACCTTCGTCTGGTTTATCTTCTCGAATAGGTACGGCCATAATCCCAACCAGACGCCGAAAACCAGAGACGACAGCTTCCTGGAATGGTGGATGCTGGAATAGCGCAAGATCATGCCAATTGGGCATAGGTAAATCAAGAACATGAGTGCAGTTGAGAGGAGGATTGTTATACATATTGCACCCCTGATGATCCTGAGAACACTGAGAGGGCGGTGTTTGGATAATGGCAGTTTTCTGGGTTCCAAATCAGTCTTCATTACCTTCGTTTTTCTCTTTCAATTCCAAAGAAACTTTTTGGCATGTATCACTCTATATCAACAAAGAAGTTAAAAGCAAAAACATCATATGTCTACTCTCAAATACTCCCTTCCTCCAAAAAAATATTTGTCACATTAAGTAAAATGAAGCGAAATTTCAAGCTTTTTCAGTTTACTTTATTTAAAGATCAATTGATATAGAAATAAACAAATACAATTTACATATCCAAAAATTATGTAAAAAATTCTTCAAAACATGAGGTGTGACGTTTCAATTTCCGGACAGAAAGAGTAATAATGGTTTATGTAAGAAAACACGACGGTGACAGGAAGTATATTATATAAGTTGGTAGACCAAAACATAACAAAAACACCTACAACTTAGATGTGGAAGCCAAATTGTTAGAAGTGAGTCAATTGAATACTCTCTAATAACTCCAACTTTTGTTTTGTTTTCTAATGACTTTTATTACTTCCTAATCTCTACTAAATGTTGCTTTACATATCACACCATAACTATTCAAATCTAAGGGTATTTTTTGGAAAAAACAATACCAAAATTTACTTTTTTTTAAATACAATAAATATCGGTACAAGAAACGTTTTTTTTAGAGACGGAAGAAGTATCTTTCTTCTTACTTTGATTTTTCCAATCAACGTTTTCAAAATTTGACTATAACAAAAAATACATTGAAACAAATTGCGAAAACTTACCAGTTTATTAGAGTTCCTTGAGACAGATTGATGATTAGCGAGAAAAAAGATCCAATCTTTATCCTCGGGCAGTGAGAAAAAAAATCGGGCAGCAATGGGCAGAGATGGATGGATCAAAGAAAACCCACCGGAGGAGCCCTTTTTATCTTTGGATTCAATCTAAATCCAAAATATGACTCACTGATTGCGTAATTCCTCCGTCTCCTAAAATCAACCCGGCCTTTTTTTCACACCTTTTTAATTAATTAAACTCTGTAAAAGTCAAATAAATATTTTTTTTATGGGACAAAGATCATATAATACGGAGATTTATGTATATATATATATACACACACACACACACACATATGCATGTGCATTATCATGGTGAGCATGAGAGGGAGAGACAAAGAAAATTTGAAAAGAAAAAAGCTTTTTTTTTTAGAAAAAAAAAGTTAAAAAAGGAAGGGTCGGCAAAGAAGCAGAAAACTAAGAAAAGGAGGAATCTTGACTTGTTCAAAGATAAGACGTTAGAGTTGGAAATTTTAAGCTACCTAATGAGGTAATTTAAATACTAATTCCCTTGAAAGAATACTACTACTAATTACTCCCTCCCAAAATTATGTTTTGTTTTAATCATATTCAGTTTAAAATTAATTTTTATACGGAGATATGAAATAACTATTTTATTTTAATAAAAAAAAGTACTGTAATTAATAGGGTAAGAGTATACGTACTCTGAATAAGAAATGAATAAAAAAGAAATCTTGTTGGATAAGAGTGAAAAAGTATGAAAATATCAGAATATGAGTCTTTAGTTTTTTTAGACGAAAATAGGAGTATAGTGGCAGTGTGATATAAGAGTGCGTGTTGCGAGTGTGATGAAAAAGTGAATATATATGGCAGTCGCGGTGGTACAGTAGTGGTGGCAATGATAGATGACAGTGTGACATTTACAATGCGACAATGTGGTAAGTAAGACGGTGTAACAATAATAGTGGTAAGAATTTGGTGGGCCGAAAACAACAAGCAGAGTGTCAGATAAAATTAACTATTTGCATATTAAGTAGGGATCTACTTTGTGACCTAAAAACTTAAGTTGATAGGTAGGGTTTCACCCTTCTATATATGCTAGTGGCATTCATTTTTATTTAAGAAATCACTCTAAATAAGAGTAAAAATATAGAGAAGGTACCAAAATAGGAGTTCTGTATTTTTATTTCCTACATATGAGTTCGCATCGTGGTAATTTGGCATTGTAGGTGTGCATATTACTATACTTTTTGGTAATGTAAATGTATTTTAACTCCTATTTCGAGAATAAAAGCATTGAACTCTTACTTTGGTATATTTTCAATGTTTTACTCATGCTTTAATCTTTTTTTATTTTCCGATGTGAAGACTTCAACACTTCTCTCAAGTGGTAACTAGAATGATCTAGTTAGTATTTGGGTAAGTGTGTCTAGCATTTCTATCTCATATAGCCAGCTCACACAACAGGCGATGGTGTGACAATCATATAGCAAACTCAACCCAAATCACGAATAGGTAGCTCATTTCGTTGAAACCACGTTTAAACAACCACGAAGAATCAAATCCAAACTTGACATGTTTCAATACTATGTCAAAGAACCAACTCACCAAAAACTTAAGTTCGTGGTTTTGGCCCAGGAATGATTTTTATATACTCTAACATGCTCCTCACGTACAGGCGTGACTTCTTTAAGCCTTGAACGTGAAACCTTAACTTTTTTTAAAATTGGATGACATTGAGTTTCGAACTCGTGACATTTTGGTCATTAAGACTCGGATACCATGTTAAGAACTTGGGGCACCGGGAACAACAAGCAAAGTGTCGAGTACAATTAATCACTTGCATATGAAGTCGTGATCCACTTTTTAACCCTAAAGTTTAAGCTGATAGGTAGGGTACCATTATTTTAAACATGATAAGGGTATTCACCTTTATTTTTCGATGTAGAAACTTCAAAAGACAATGTGAATTCTTATTTTAGTCTTAAAAGGATTAGAATTCCTATTTTGATATTTTTCTAACTTTCTACTGTTATTTAACCGGTTGTGAGAATGGTGACAAAGAGTACGTATTTTACATTTTTATTGAGTACAATGGATGGATACCTCAAGTGGTTAGAGTAGATGATATCTGACCAATGGAATAATACATTGAAACTCAATATGCTAGTGGCTCATTATGAGAGCACTGGAAATACTCGTGAAGCCTTGAGATTTCAAAATTTCTTTCTCTGCCATGTCAGCTTTAACTTACCTCAGAGATTCAGTGAAAATGGGTTTGAAGGCCTGTGGCTTCAAAGCTTCAATTTTTACGTTTTTAAATATACATTTTCTAAAATTTAATTATTTTATTATTTAATTATATTGAAACAAGAATATTTAAAAAAAAATACATTCATTAAATTTTAAAAAATTGAAACGACAATAATTTAAAAAAATTACATTCATTAAATTAAAAGAAAGAAAGCGACAATAATAAAAAAGATACATTAATTAAAAAATAAGGTAAATTATATTTGGTCTTGATCTCTTTTTATCTTCTCTCGAAGATCATCCGTTTGAAGCCCGATAACGTAAAAAGGTCGGTTTCCATGATTTTGATCTCGTCCTTCTCCTCCTTTCGCTTCATCTTCTCTTCTTGTCGAATATTGAACACCCGAAGTTGTTCAACAATTACCTGACTGATATCATCGCGAGAAGAAACGGAAATTGAGACGGACCCTCCAGAACCCGAGGCAATGGATTTTGCCTTCTTTCTTCC